GACGGTGATAGCTGCCGTTTTCTACACTTGGTGGCTAACCGGTACAGGACTTAGACTCACCTCTGGGAGTGATCTGCCTAATGAAGAGACTTTGTGATCGACTATCTATACCACTCATCGTGCTCGGTGTCACTTGAAGATACATCTCATCGCGGCAATACTCATTGGTGTGACGGCTTCAAGTAGGCGTGACGCCTACGCAAATGTAAGACTGCAATGCTCTTCGACATTCGTCGTCTTAAGTAGTAAGTTTAGATGGATTTTTAAGGCCTTTATGAAGTTAGCCAACTTAGCTCATTTATATCCATCATTCTTCTGACCACGGAAAATAGCCTGAGAATTGAGATAGCGTGGAGCGTGGAGACGCCCATCCACATTTTGTCATTTCTAGAATCTCAACTGCTAAAAACTGAACATACCTTTGGTTAATCAGTTTGCAAATGAACGTGAACAGTAGAAAATGAGGAGTGGATTAAAACCCATTGTTGGAATGTGTTTGCGATAAAAGTAGTCAGGATTAGTCGCTGAACCCCTTTTCCCCTAGTCCTCTTTCTGCATTACGAAATTCTCCACTTTGCCTACCACTCATTATCACTTGCTTGGATCGCTTCTTTACGAGACCTCGGTTGTAACCTTCTACTATTAACCCCATTTTTCGCAACTGATCGCCTCCGAATGTGCGACAAGATCTTGAGCGGTAGGAAACAAGGTACTTACATCAGCAGTCTTGCCGGTACGTCAGTGTTATTGGTGTGCCAAGGAAGGCGCGTTGAGTGAATCCCTCAATGATCAATCACACAGGCTATATCTTTTGCACACACTTAACGCTGGAAAGGTGATTACTGCGCTGAGAGCACACACAGTGTTACATAAGGACAGCAAATACGCCACCGCTACTTATTTCTACTTTCCTCCGTCTTCACCTCTTCTCTCGTCTTAGCAGACATGAAAATAGCCATTCTATACAAGGGTCGAAGATTGCTTAACGTCTCCATGCGCAACGACATGAGCGTGAGACGTCTACGAGATATCATCGAGGAGACACATCACATTCCACCTGACAAGCAGACATTGACCTACAATGGGCGCATTCTTGAAGATGGGAAGTTGCTCGAACAACACTACGGCATAAATGACAAATCGGAAGTAACGCTCTCTCTCCCATTGGACTTTGAGCCCAACTTCAGGATCTACGTCAAAGTGCCTGGTGGATTAATGATCAAACGCCACGTAAATAGAAATGACCTCGTGTCCGAGTTGAAGTGGTCTATA